CCCAGCTATAAGCGTCGCTGACGGTGGATGGAAATGCCACCACGGGAGACGGCCTGACGACCACCAAGGAATTCCAAAAAGCTGCAAAGCTTGAAAGCTCAGACCCAGAAAACCAAAGCAAGAAACCGACTTCAACTCAGCAGGAAACAGCAGGAAACACAGCCCTCGCCGGTTTGCTCAGTGGATAGAGCGTCGGCCCAAGGACTGAAGGGTCCTGGGTTCGATTCCAGTTAAGGAAACAGAAAAAGGAGACCGACCCTCCTTCTTTACTCCCAGGTCTCACTGCTTTCCTTCCCCAGCCAGTGATCTGAGAGCTCATCACACCCAGGGGGTAGGCACTTCATACAATGCCCATCCCCCAGGGCAACACAATGTATGTACAGACGTTACTTAGCTGGCTACTCTTCATTAGACAGTTCGCCATGTTGTTCACATTCTATATCCTCAGTCACTATAGCTGCTAAGACATTCTTCTGGGCACAGAGGCACTTATTTCTGTGAAGTACAGACCAGCAGCCAGCCTGCTGGGTCATAGGACAGGCGTAGGCTTGGTCTTAGTAGATACTAGGAAATAGTTTTCCAAATCGTTGTACTAATTTACACGCTCACCAGTGATTTCACATCCTCATTAATATTTGCTACCGCTGGGCTTTAATTTTAGATGGTCTGGTGAGTATGTAATAGTATTGAATTGTAGTTTTCCTTTGAATTTCTATTATATATTTTTGTTTTTATCGATTTCTAGCTTAAGTCTCAACTGGTCAGAAAACATGTTTTGTATAATTAAAAAATGTGTCGATAAATGAAGTAGTGCCCAGTATGCAATTTGTTTCGGTAAACGTGCCATGTGTGCGTGATAAGAATGTATATTCTGTGATTGTTGGATACATGGTGTATAAATGCCAATTAGATTAATTATGTTTACTGTTTTGTTCACACTTCTTATAGATATATTTTTTAATTTATTTAAATTACAGTTGACATACACTATTATGTTAATTTCAGGGGTACAGCATAGAGGTTAGGCATTTATATACCTTACAAAGTGGCACCAGACATAGTTACCACAATATTGACTATGATCCCTACAACTGTGCCACACATCCTGTGGCTGTTCATTGCCAGTTATCAAACTTCCCATATTCTTAATGTTTTTTTGTCTCATTCTATTCGTTGCTGAGATCGTTTTGTAAAAAATATACATTTGACTAAGATTGTGGATTTTAATTTTGTATTCAGTTCTGTCCACTTTTTTGCTTTCTATATTCTGAGGCTATGTTATTAGCTCATAGAAATTTTAAATAATTATATCTCCCGGTGAACCAGACCTTGGATCATCACGAAACTTCCCTCTCTGTCTCCAGCACCTGTCCCCTCAGTCTGATGCCAATAAACAGCGCCCCTGGCCTGCTCTGGGTCCTGTGGGTGGCCTTTTCCAGAGATGGCCCGGCGTGTCCCACCCTCGTGCTCTCCCTACAGCGGAACCTGGACACTCCTCCAGTGCAGGGCTGGAGTCCATGCCCCTCCTTTCGAACCTGTGGTCCTCTATGTGACTTCTGAGCCTGCCTCTTTTTAAAAAGTGTATCTTTATTGTTGAAAGTATTACAGACGTCCCTCCTTTTTCTCTCATTGACCTCTGCTAGCCCACACCTGCCCCCAACCCCAGGCCTTCACCACACTATTGTCTGAGTCTATGGGTTGAGCATACATGCATATAAGTTTTGTTAATCTCTTCCCCACCACACTCTGAGATTCCACAGTCTGCTCCATGCTTCTGTGTCCCTGGATCTATTTTGTTCGCCAGTTTATTTTGTTCTTTAGATTCTACATCTGAGTGAGATCATGTGATACTTGTCTTCCTCCAGGTCCTTCCATGCTGTTTCAAAGGGTAAGAGATCCTTCTTTTTAACAGCTGCATAGTATTCCCTGGTGTAAATGTACCACAGCTTTTTATCCACTCGCCTGCTGATGGGCACGTGGGCTGATTCCAGATCTTAGCTGTTGTAAATAGCGCTGCTATGAACATAGGGGGGCATACATTCTTTCTAATTGGTGTTTCAAGCTTCTTAGACGCGGGATCACTGAGTCAAATGGACCTAAATAGACACTTCTCCAAAGTGGACATACAAATGGCCCAGAGACTTATGAAAAATGCTCAAAGTCACTATCATCAGAGAGATGCAAATTAAAATGACAATGAGATAGCACCTCACACCTAGCAGAATGGCCACCATCAACCAATCAACAAACGACAAGTGTCCCAAGGATGCAGAGACAAGGGAGCCCTTGTGCACTGCTGGGGGGCATGCAGACGGGTGCACTGCTGGGGGCATGCAGACTGGTGCACTGCTGGGGGCATGCAGACTGGGGCACTGCTGGGGGCATGCAGACTGGGGCACTGCTGGGGGCATGCAGACTGGGGCACTGCTGGGGGCATGCAGACTGGGGCACTGCTGGGGGCATGCAGACTGGGGCACTGCTGGGGGCATGCAGACTGGGCACTGCTGGGGGCATGCAGACTGGGGCACTGCTGGGGGCATGCAGACTGGGGCACTGCTGGGGGCATGCAGACTGGGGCACTGCTGGGGGCATGCAGACTGGGGCACTGCTGGGGGCATGCAGACTGGGCACTGCTGGGGGCATGCAGACTGGGGCACTGCTGGGGGCATGCAGACTGGGCACTGCTGGGGGCATGCAGACTGGGGCACTGCTGGGGGCATGCAGACTGGGGCACTGCTGGGGGCATGCAGACTGGGGCACTGCTGGGGGCATGCAGACTGGGGCACTGCTGGGGGCATGCAGACTGGGCACTGCTGGGGGCATGCAGACTGTGCAGCCACTGTGAAAACAGTACGAGTTTCCTCAGAAAATTACATACGGATCTGCCATTTGGCCCAGTGAGGCTACATTTAAAACCTGATGCACTCTTGTCGTGTTCTCTGGGCTGCTAACTCTTGGAATTCAGCGGCTGGGCTATGAGGAAGCCCAAACTGGCCCACACGGAGCCATCAGATGCAAAGACCACGTTAGATGTCTGACCGACAGGAAGCCCCAGACCTGTGACGATGCCTCTACAATCCCAGGCCCGGCTGTGGAATCACCCGCAGCCTGCAGGTCACCCCAATCTTCACAGCTTTCCAGCTGAGGCCCCAGACATCCTGCGGCAAAGGCCAGCCACATGCTGTCCCTCGTCCAGGTTCCTGGGGTGAACGCAATAAAATGGCTGCTTCATGTCACTAGGTCTTGGAGTCCTGAGCAATAGCAGCTGGAACAGCGTGGTGAAGACTTTCTCCCCCTTGTGAACCTTTGTGTAGCTTTACCTCTAAGGCGTGTCTCTTGTAAGCAGTATATAGGCTTTTCAAACATGGAGTCTGACAGTTTTTGTCTTTTAATTGTAGTATTTAGTTTATTTGTGTTTAACGTAATTACTTACATATTGGGTTTAAGTCTACCATTTTCTTATTTCTTATGCTTTTTTTTATCATTTATGATGCTTTTCTTATTATTTTCGTTATTTTCTATATTTTTTCCCTCTTCTTTCTTGCCTCATTTTGCATTGGTTACATTTTATCACAGTAGCTTCCCCTCATTAGATTGTTAGTTATACATTCTGTTGTGAAACTTTCAACAATTACACTAGAGATTACAACACACATCCTGGACTTCCCGCTCAGGCTCAGGGTTTCAGAAAACCTCCCCGGCGAGCGGCGCAGCTGAGAGATGAGGCCCCCAGAGAGCGAAGCAGAAAATCGGGATGGAAACTCCTACGTGAGGAAGCACCCGGCGTGGTCCCGACTCAGGGAGGTGTCTGGTCTATGCAGATCAGACACCTATGAAGGGGTCATATTTTCAAAAAACGATGAGCCTTAAAAAGCCTTTGGGTGTTATAAGCCTGAGAACAGCCCATGGCCCCAATGTCCATAAGCAGGACACAGTCTGCTAACGCCCCTGAGTGACGAGCGCCCACCTATGTCCCCCACCCCCCTCCCGTGGGGAAGCCTCGGGCCCCGAGAAGCAGGAGCCCGCAAGACCCCAGAGGACTGAGGGAAGTGAAGCGGATTCGTGGCTACTTCAAGGTCAGCTGACCTTGAGATATAAAGTTGGGGCTCCTCTTCCTGTTTCACGCATGTCATAGGTTCGCCATCACTGCCTTAGCGGGTGGCTGTCCTGAGGCACCAACCTCAGCTACACCGTCAGATCCTGGGCACCCGTCAAGGTCGGGACCAGCATCCCTCCTCCAGGAACCTCCCACCCCCTTCCGAGTGCAGTGGTTCCTGCCTCAGCCCAGGGCACACTGGGCCCCAGGCAGGATCCTAACGCGCACTGGGAACCCTGCCGGGTGTCCGCGCCTCCAGAAGGGACGGCACATAGAGAGAACTCCGGGACATTGCTGATGAGTGGCCTTAGGGCAGTGATGGCGAACCTTTTGAGCTCGGCGTGACAGCATTTTGAAAATAACAATTCTGGTGCTGTGTCACATATAGAAATTTTGTGATATTTGCAACCATAGTAAAAGAAAGACTTATATTTTTGATATTTATTTTATATATTTAAATTCCATTTAACAAAGAAAAATCAACCAAAAAATGAGTTCGCGTGTCACCTCTGACACGCATGTCATAGGTTCGCCATCACTGCCTTAGCGGGTGGCTGTCCTGGGGGCATGCTCCCTCACCCACCCCCAGCGGCACTTACTGGCTGGGCGAGGGGCTCCGCAGGAGGTACCGGGCCTGCACGGCCCTCACGTCTGCTTCGTCCTCTTCACTTGGGACGACCTGCTCCTCCTCGGGGTCCCCACGGGTCGCCATGGCACCTGTCAGCCTCTGCATATTTGGTGTGAAAAAGGCAGTTGAGGAATCTGGTTTTGGGGGATTTGTGTGGGGAGGGGTGTGTTGGCGATGTCACCTCAATGGACAGTCCCCTCCTAGTGAGAAGACGCACGGGGGAATCCAAGTCACACTGGGCCCAGCCACTGTCACCAGGACACCGAGACTCACGCCATGGCCGAGGAGGAGCCACCCTCGGAGTCACAAGACATAAGTGGCAACTTGGCTGCGTTCACAGATGCCAGCAAGGAAGAGGGGGAGGGAGGGACCGGAAACTGAAGACAGTGAATTCCCCAGAACAGAAAGGTCTTTCTGTTGAAACATGGACACCCACCTGCTCGCTCGCTCTCTCTCTCTCTCTCTCTCTCTCTCTCTCTCTCTCTCACACACACACACACACACACACACACACACACACACACACACATTTTCTGCCTCTGCTGGGGGAGGGGCAGCTGGCCCTAAGGGTCTCTGGCCCAGGCACCGACCCCCAGGAAGGAGAGCTCCCGGAGCTGGTCCCAGGAGGGGCTGGGCCCCACACCCAGGCCAGAGCGGCTCCCTGGGCAGGGCGTCCTGGGCCCACAGGACAGAGAGGAGAAGGTAGCACACTCACCGCAGATCTGTGGTCTCCACACCGAGGGCGGTCTCCCAGGACTGGGGGACCCAGAGGCAATGCCACAAGCCTGACCAGTGAGAGGCCCCACTCTGTCTCCTCGGGCCTCTCCTCTGAGGGGCAGGACAGCTGTCCACAGGAAACCTGAGCTACCTTCTAAATTTAGCCTCTGGCCCCACAGCAAGCATATCTCTAGGAGAAGGAATGCAGGCTCAGACCCCAGAAAGCAGGCCCCACTTAACTCTTTCCCTCTGGGCCCATTCCTACCAGCAGCCAAGGTCAGGGGACATCGTTCACGCTTTGTAGGTGGAGAACCTGAAGAAAAGCTTTTGGGGCTCTCCCCATACCCTCCCCTCTGGGCTCCCTCTATATATACCCTCCCACCTGGGCTGCCTCTGTATATACCCTCCCCCCTGGGCTCCCTCTATATATACCCTCCCACCTGGCCTCCCTCTATATACACCCTCCCCCCTGGGCTCCCTCTATATACACCCTCCCACCTGGCCTCCCTCTATATACACCCTCCCACCTGGGCTCCCTCTATATATACCATCCCACCTGGCCTCCCTCTATATATACCCTCCCCCCTGGGCTCCCTCTATATATACCCTCCCCCCTGGGCTCCCTCTATATATACCCTCCCCCCTGGGCTCCCTCTATATATACCCTCCCACCTGGCCTCCCTCTATATATACCCTCCCCCCTGGGCTCCCTCTATATATACCCTCCCCCCTGGGCTGCCTCTATATATACCCTCCCACCTGGGCTCCCTCTATATATACACCCTCCCACCTGGGCTCCCTCTATATACACCCTCCCACCTGGCCTCCCTCTATATATACCCTCCCACCTGGCCTCTCTCTATATATACCCTCCCACCTGGCCTCCCTCTATATATACCCTCCCACCTGGCTCCCTCTATATATACCCTCCCACCTGGGCTCCCTCTATATATACCCTCCCACCTGGGCTCCCTCTATATATACCCTCCACCTGGGCTCCCTCTATATATACCCTCCCACCTGGGCTACCTCTATATATACCCTCCCACCTGGCCTCCCTCTATATATACCCTCCCCCCTGGGCTACCTCTATATATACCCTCCCACCTGGGCTCCCTCTATATATACCCTCCCACCTGGGCTCCCTCTATATATACCCTCCCACCTGGGCTCCCTCTATATATACCCTCCCCCCTGGGCTCCCTCTATATATACCCTCCCACCTGGCTTCCTCTATATATACCCTCCCACCTGGGCTCCCTCTATATATACCCTCCCCCCTGGGCTACCTCTATATATACCCTCCCACCTGGGCTCCCTCTATATATACCCTCCCACCTGGGCTCCCTCTATATACCCTCCCCCTGGGCTACCTCTATATATACCCTCCCACCTGGGCTCCCTCTATATATACCCTCCCACCTGGGCTCCCTCTATATATACCCTCCCCCCTGGGCTCCCTCTATATATACGTCCCCCCTGGGCTCCCTCTATATATACCCTCCCCCCTGGGCTACCTCTATATATACCCTCCCCCTGGGCTCCCTCTATATATACCCTCCCCCCTGGGCTCCCTCTATATATACCCTCCCCCCTGGGCTCCCTCTATATATACCCTCCCCCTGGGCTCCCTCATATATACCCTCCCCCCTGGCTCCCTCTATATATACCCTCCCCCCTGGGCTCCCTCTATATATACCCTCCCCCCTGGGCTCCCTCTATATATACCCTCCCCCCCTGGGCTCCCTCTATATATACCCTCCCCCCTGGGCTCCCTCTATATATACCCTCCCCCCTGGCTCCCTCTATATATACCCTCCCACCTGGGCTCCCTCTATATATACCCTCGCCCCCTGGGCTCCCTCTATATATACCCCTCCCCCCTGGGCTCCCTCTATATATACCCTCCCACCTGGGCTCCCTCTATATATACCCTCCCCCCTGGGCTACATCTATATATACCCTCGCCCCTGGGCTCCCTCTATATATACCCTCCCCCCTGGCCTCCCTCTATAGATAACCCTCCCCCTGGGCTGCCTCTATATATACCCTCCCCCTGGGCTCCCTCTATATATACCCTCCCCCCTGGGCTCCCTCGATATATACCCTCCCCCCTGGGCCTCCCGCTATATATACCCTCCCCCCTGGCTGCCTCTATATATACCCTCCCACCTGGGCTCCCTCTATATATACCCTCCCACCTGGGCTCCCTCTATATATACCCTCCCCCCTGGCCTCCCTCTATATATACCCTCCCCCTGGGCTCCCTCTATATATACCCTCCCCCCTGGGCTCCCTCTATATATACCCTCCCCCCTGGCCTCCCTCTATATATACCCTCCCCCTGGGCTGCCTCTATATATACCCTCCCCCCTGGGCTCCCTCTATATATACCCTCCCCCCTGGCCACCCTCTATATATACCCTCCCCCTGGGCTCCCTCTATATATACCCTCCCCCTGGGCTCCCTCTATATATACCCTCCCACCTGGCCTCCCTCTATATATACCCTCCCCCTGGGCTGCCTCTATATATACCCTCCCACCTGGGCTCCCTCTATATATACCCTCCCCCCTGGGCTCCCTCTATATATACCCTCCCCCCTGGCCTCCCTCTATATATACCCTCCCCCTGGGCTGCCTCTATATATACCCTCCCCCCTGGGCTCACTCTTATATACACTCCCACCTGGGCTCCTCTATATATACCCTCCCCCCTGGGCTCCTCTATTATATACCCTCCCCCCTGGGCTCCCTCTATATATACCCTCCCCCCTGGCTCCCTCTATATTACCCTCCCCCTGGGCTCCCTCTATATAACCCCTCCCCCCTGGGCTCCCTCTATATATACCCTCCCCCTGGGCTCCCTCTATATATACCCTCCCACCTGGCTCCCCTCTATATATACCCTCCCCCCTGGGCTCCTCTATATATACCCTCCCCCCTGGGCTCCCTCTATATATACCCTCCCCCCTGGCTCCCTCTATATACCCTCCCACCTGGGCTCCCTCTATATATACCCTCCCACCTGGCTGCCTCTATATATACCCTCCCCCATGGCTCCATCTATATATACCCTCCCCCCTGGCTCCCTCTATATTTACCCTCCCCCCTGGCTCCCTCTATATATACCCTCCCCCTGGGCTGCCTCTATATACCCTCCCACCCTGGGCTCCCTCTATATATAACCCTTCCCACCTGGGCTGCCTCTATATATACCCTCCCCCTGGGCTCCCTCTATATATACCCTCCCCCCCTGGGCTCCCTCTATATATACCCTCCCCCTGGGCTTCCCTCTATATATCCCTCCCCCTGGGCTCCCTCTATATACACCCTCCCACCTGGGCTCCCTCTATATATACCCTCCCACCTGGGCTCCCTCTATATATACCCTCCCCCTGGGCTCCCTCTATATATACCCTCCCCCTGGGCTCCCTCTATATATACCCTCCCCCCTGGGCTCCCTCTATATACACCCTCCCACCGGGCTCCCTCTATATATACCCTCCCACCTGGCTCCCTCTATATACCCTCCCACCTGGCTCCCTCTATATATACCCTCCCCCCCTGGGCTGCCTCTATATATACCCTCCCCCCCTGGGCTCCCTCTATATATACCCTCCCCCTTGGCCTCCCTCTATATATACCCTCCCCCTGGCCTCCCTCGATATATTATACCCTCCCCCTGGCTCCCTCTATATATACCCTCCCCCCTGGCCTCCCTCTATATATACCCTCCCACCTGGGCTCCCTCTATATATACCCTCCCCCTGGGCTCCTCTATATATACCCTCCCACATGGGCTCCCTCTATATATACCCTCCCACCTGGGCTCCCTCTATATATAACCCTCCCACCTGGCTCCCTCTATATATACCCTCCCCCTGGGCTCCCTCTATATATACCCTCCCCCCCGGGCTCCCTCTATATAAACCCTCCCACCTGGGCTCCCTCTATATATACCCTCCCACCTGGCTCCCTCTATATATACCCTCCCACCTGGGCTCCCTCTATATATACCCTCCCACCCTGGGCTCCCTCTATATATACCCTCCCACCTGGCTCCCTCTATATATACCCTCCCCCCTGGGCTCCCTCTATATATACCCTCCCACCTGGGCTCCCTCTATATATACCCTCCCACCTGGCTCCCTCTATATATACCCTCCCACCTGGGCTCCCTCTATATATACCCTCCCACCTGGGCTCCCTCTATATATACCCTCCCCCTGGGCTCCCTCTATATATACCCCCCCCCTGGGCTCCCTCTATAATACCCTCCCCCTGGGCTCCCTCTATACCCTCCCCCCTGGGCTCCCTCTATATATACCCTCCCCCTGGGCTCCCTCTATATATACCCTCCCCCTGGGCTCCCTCTATATATACCCTCCCCCTGGGCTCCCTCTATATATACCCTCCCCCCTGGGCTCCCTCTATATATACCCTCCCCCTGGGCTCCCTCTATATATACCCTCCCCCCTGGGCTCCCTCTATATATACCCTCCCCCCTGGGCTCCCCTCTTATATCTACCCCCCCCTGGCTCCCTCTATATATACCCTCCCCCCTGGGCTCCCTCTATATATACCCTCCCCCCTGGGCTCCCTCTATATATACCCTCCCCCTGGGCTCC